GGGAGGGAGGGAGGGAGGAAAGAAACATGGAGAGAGTAAGAAGGTAGACAGCTCCTGACCTATCCATCTACTTCTGGACATCTCTTGAACTGGATAATCTTGCTGCCAATGCTATATGTACTATATCCAAAAGCAGATGCTTTGGAGCTCAGATCACATTGCATTAATGATCCCTTAAGGCTTAAGAGTAAATTTCTGGGCTCTGCACAATGATTATCACTCTCTACTAAGTGGAGGATGCCCGTCATGAAAGAACAGCCACCACCGCAAAGGAAAAGTGCCATGGTCTTGAGTTAGAAAAGAATTGAGGAAATACACATTTTCACTTTCTAGTATTAATTTTCTATTATTGTTTTTTCCATCCTGCATTATTTACGGTCATAATCAAATTATCTATTTTGCCAGGAAGCGTCATTTTAAAAGAAAAATAAAATATTCTCCATGCCTCTCAATTTTCCTCCAAGAAAAGAGTTGCTACACAAAATGAATGATTTCACAAGAAAAAAAGAATAATTGCATTGTTGCATATTCAGAGAAGGAAGACCAGAATCACTGACAGAGTACTTGGATATATCGAAAGTGTGGTCTAACTAACTAACAACAATGACGACGACAACTAACACAGACTGTGTCTACGTAGTTAGCTATATTATACCTCTAGGGCAGATTCCTTTTGGCGGAGATTTGAATGAAAATTTTTCCAGTCTTCTTTTGCAGTTGCAATTTTGGCCTGGATACCATTAGCTTTCTCTTTGGTCAACAGAGTACTCAAAAGTTCTCCTTTAGATAGCATCGTGTTTAGCTTATGCTGTCCATTTTCACTTTCTGATGAAAATTCCTATAAAGAAAATTGTAAGATTAGGTATAATAAAATGTTCTATGATTTAACACACACTGACTTTTCTACTTATTTCTCAACAAAATCACAGAGAAGGGATAAACAATTTTTATTGTATAAATTAAGTGGCTAAGACTCTTTAGCTTACACTGAGGTTAATAATTGTATGAACCTGATAAAGTGACTATAAAAATTAAATGACAAACTCTGTTTAGAGTGCTCAAGCACAATACTTGTCACATAGAAATAGCTTTTATTATTTCCTTACTCCCCATTAATATATAAAATAGCACACATTTATATGAATGCGCTGGTTTTTCTTCATGTACACAATCGTCTCAAGCAGGGATCTATTTGAAAGTTGAGTTTCTTAAGCAAAACTTTAATCTGCTTATAAAATGATCTAGAGTCACCTTTTGAATCCACTTCAGCTCCATTATTAGAATTAATTAGTAACACTCTCACCTGTATTTTCTGAAGACTTGTTGAAACTTCACTGAGATTTTGAGGTATATCGAAACATTTGGCGGTAGTGGTTTTTGCATTAACCAACCACTGCTGGAAGTCCTTGAAGGATCTTCGAAATCTCTGCTGCAAAATCTGTTCTTTATTCTGACAGCTTTTGGATGCTTGCAAACAAAGACTAAAAACGTGGTTTGAAACATTTAATGGAAGGGAAAAAATGATAAAGGAGATTAAAATAATGTCTGATGGAATCAACAATTCTTAGAGTGTGCACTTATCATTTAGTAATGTATTTAATGGTTAATTTATATTAATATTGAAATCACATCTTGAAATAAACAAATCTCTAGCTTTTTAATTGTATGAAAATATTGTGATTACCAGTAAGGTTCATGCTCACCAATTATATTCTTTAATCAAGCCAGAAACTTTGCCACTGTATGTACTCAGGTCTCTGGAAAACCGACAAAGGTCATTCAGCTGAGACTTGAGATCCTCTGTCTTAGGCTCTGCTTTTTGTAGAGCATCCAGTATCTCCTGTTAGGAAATTGCAAGACAAAATTGGGCAATTTCCACATCTTCATATGTACTGTACATGCAGAAATCATGTTATAATTATTAGTGAGAGAAGAATCAACACATAGATTAAGAAATAAGACCTATTAGCACTTGGCTGATTTGTATCCTTTTTTAGCCATGGATAGGCACTCACTCATAATAGCATCTAATTTGTAAGTGACTCATTTGAGGCTGGACATGTTGTCGAATAGTCAAATAATGTAAGGTAGGTTTAGAAAATGAAAAGAGAAAATAGTCTAAATTGTTTAAAAACAGTCTGACTAGACCATCGTTTAAAAATAATGATAAATCATTTTAAAGCAAAGCAATACTTATTTTGGTTTAATATCTGTATTAGTTATGTGCGTATGTATACATAATCAATCGATTTATGTAGTATATACAATTAACTTCCACATTAAGAAATTCTTATAATCCACAGATCTGATTTAAGGAGTAATTTATTCATTTCATAGTTTTATTCATACAGTCACCAAATACTTGTTAAATGTCTGCCATGTTGCAATCATTTTGCTGGATTCTGGGGCACCCCCCCTCCGCCCACCAAACCAACACCATCAAATGACTAAAAGTATAATTCTTGTATTTGAAGAGCTCACAATTTAATGGATGAAAAAGACATGTGAATAATCACAGTTCTGTGAATATCTAAACCAAAATAAAGTCTTGAGACTTCACAAGTACACCTCTGAAATCAGGGTCATGGTCCACTGAATTACACAATGGACTGTCACAAAGAGCAAGTGAAATCATGAGTGTCCAACACACATTACCTGGCACACTGATAAGTGCCTAATAAGAAAAATCAGCAGGTAAATGACACCCAAATATTTAAATGGGACTGTGTGGATAATGGAATCACTAAGGTAAAAAATAATAACAATAATTAAAGAGGAGGGGCAAGAATGTAACTACTCAGAGAGCTGTTGCTGTTACTGTTTTTATTCTCAGAGATATTTGTCAAGACATGGCCTAGATTTGTAGGAAAACCACGCCTCTCGGCAAACCAGGTCTGGGCCACTCCTCGCCCTAGTAAATGGCTCCACTGTCCTCTCATTGTTCTAAGTCAGAAAGCGAAGCATCCTCTTGGCCTAACCCATTTCCCTTCTCACTCCATGTAAGAGATAATGAGGTCTCGTCTATTCCCCGTCTGAGATAGCTTTTCAAACAGTTACATCTGCATCTTGGCTCTCGGAGCCCCATTTACATCTTTATCATTTCTTTCTAGAAAGGCACAAGATCCACTTAATTTGAATCCTGTTCTCGAGTTTTCGCTCCCGCATCTTCTCATTCCTCAGTGATTCTGTATCTTGGTGCTGTTCTTCCACCTCACAGATCTGGTCAATTTGTAATCATACCTCAAGACCCAGTTCAGATAACGACTCCCCTAAGGATTCGCTGGCCCCCTCCCCACCTCTTATAGGCTTCTCACTGAGGACACACAGGACCTTGTTGGCGCTTATCACAGACAAGTATTCCCACTGGTTTTGAACTTGGCCTTTCCACCTAGATGGTGACTCTGAGAGGAGGAATGGGTTTCTCTTGGCTTTAAAGTTCTTTATTTAACTTAGTGTCAGGGCTAGGGACATTGAAAATATTTTTATTTAAAAAAATTATAAATAATACTTAGAAAGTTTCTCTCTGAAACTTCAAATGTTGATCTAGTAACTATTATTTTACATCATATTGAATCTTTTATTTAGGAGCATTATAAGAACCAAAGAAACTTACCATGCACCAAAGAAGCAAATAAAAAACCCCAGAGATTCAAATGAGTCATTACAAATTAGGTGCTATCATAAGTGAAAGCTTCGACCAAAATTTTACACTAAAAAAAAAAAAAAATTCTTTAACTTCATCATAAATTAAGGCATATGATTAGACTTTTAAAAATTTTTATTATTTATTTTTATTTATTTTTTAAAAAATCCTTAATTGGTCAAAGAAATACAATTTATTATTATTATTATTTTGAATTTTTTATTATGTAAATATCAGGTTATGTACTTCTATTTCAGTTAAGGCCTGAAATGCATTATTTTCCTTGGAGGTTATACAGGTTAAGAAAATTGCTGAATTTCCAACACTAATAGCCCAAAGGATTTTAAGAGATATGAGCTTTGTAAACACAACAAACAAGATTTTTTGTGACATGATTTTACATAGTTCATAGACAATAATTCTTTATAGATTTTCAAAAAGATTTCTTGAGTATCATTGTTTCATTGCAGAGGAGAGTGTAAATACTTGTGAAGGCTCATGATGATGATGGTTATCATGATGTGAACAATGACAAGCCCTTCCCAATGACAGCAAAACAAAGCCACAGGAACCCTGGCAAATTCATTATTTTGTAAAACTTTTCCTACGCATTCATTGTAATGGGAATATTATCTCCATTTAAAAAATAAAAATAAAAATTTCCCAGCTTGTCATTGAGATAGAATTGACATACTATGTGAGTTTAAAGTGTACAACATGTTGGTTTGGTACTTTTATATATTGCAAAATGATTATTACTGCTAAAGCATTATCTAATATCTTTATCCTGTCACATAATTATCATTTCTTTTTTGTTATTATTCTCATTTTTAGATAAAATAATATTTTTAGAAATAAGAAAAATCTGAGTATTTAGAGGTAATATAGTATTGCCATCGAAAGAATGAGTCCTAGAGTCAAATGTAAATAGATCTAAACAGGGGGCTGTTGTCTTAGAATTGTTAGTACAGTTAAAATCTCTATTTACTTTTGCATTATATAGGTGAGGCCTATGAAAAGCTTTTACCTATTGTTTTCACTAATAGTATCAATATAAAAAGTAATGATATCTCAGAATAGTAATATCATTTAAATACCACCAAATCTTTTTTTTTTTTTTTTTAATTTCCATTTTAATGGTCAATTGAAAAGTTTAGGACGTACTGTATTATAACTGATTTTTCTAATATCAGAGTGAGTAATACTGACCATATGAAATAATTACCAACTTTCATGTCCCTGTTTTACAGAACTGCTTTCTATACTTTATTCTGGTGCTTAAGCCTAAAGGACTGTAAGGGCATCAGAAAAAAAAACAAACAAAAAACCAAAACAAATAAACAAACAAAAAAACAAAACTAGAAACATTATAAATAAAACAGCACAAAAAGATGATTATAAAGTTTTCTTTTGGAGTATGCTATATTTGTTTCAAATACTTGATTTAAAACAAGGCAATGCTGAAAATACTATGTGACTTTCTTACTGGTTGGAGCTATTTTGAAATGTTTATAATATAAATAGAAACAGAGAAGTTTACTTTACTAAACTTCCTTTTAAGGACATCCATGATTCAGAGCATTATTAAACTGCAAATATCAAAAGTCTTTCCAAGATACCATTTAACAATAAACAAAGAAAGAGGATTTCAAGCTTCTGCCCATTCTTCGCTATCCCTTTTATGCTTTCTTGTCTCTCATTCCGAAAAAAAATGCCGGAAGCAACCCATGAGTGTGACATTGGGGTTCTGTTAACGGGTTAATTCAAATCAGCCATCAAAACTACACACAGGAGAGCTAATCAGGGTGAAAACTATTAGCTGTGCTTTAGATCACCAAATGGTTCTTTCAAAGCTATAAATTAAATCATTTAATTGTTGGAAATAATTCACTGGCAGGCAAACAGCTATGACTCTCCGTCTATTTATGCCTCTACCCACAGGCCATTTTTTCAGCCTGAATGGCTGAACACACTACAAACTCTTACACCCTAAGAATGAAAGTAGGATGTTGTCCCTAACCATAACTGTTTTCCACGGTAAAGAATAACATCTTCTCTCCTCAGCTTCATTTTTACAATAATTTGATTTATGAGAAAAGGAAACAGATCAGATTTGCAAATTTAATTAGAAAGACTTCTTTCTTTCCAAGTCTGATGGAATGTTGCGTGTTTTTAGTTACCAAGGATTCTTTTTAGCAACAATGAGAACAGAATAAAATTTTCGGCAGAACCACCAATAGAAAACAGGAAGCCAACTTACTCGCCCCTTCTGCCAGCACTCCACCATCTCCGTGTCTGTGTTCTTGCCTTCCAGGACACTTAACTGCTGCGCCCACGTCGTCAGAAGGACCCCGAGCTGCTCCAGGGCCTGCTCCAGTTGAGCCACTTGGCCTGTGAATTCCTGCTCCGAAAGGGCCATCTGGCTGACCAGGGTCTCCAGGCTGGTCTGCGTCTGGCATACACTGTCTTCCCACTGCTTCCAGTCGGCACGCAGGGCCTGCATCTCCGTGTCCATGAGCTCACTCCCACTGGCAGTTGTGTTCTGTGTCACCGCAGGAGCCAGCGACTCCACTCTGCTTAGGCGGCTCGCTCCAATCTCTCTGGAATCCATCAGCTCCTGTAATGGAATGTCACCATGGTAACTGAGGAGGCTGTTAGTCACAGCAAGTTTCCAAATGTGTACAGGGGGAGACCCCGTCTTGCTAGAAAGTTGGAGCAAGCATGCCACAGGGAACCGGAATCAGTTCATCTGCCCACCCCCGAGTTACAACAGCAGAGAATGGTCATCTCGAGCACCAAGGCGGGTGGCAAGAGAAGCTGAGGAATCTGTAACATACCAAAGCAGACAAAATAGGGACGCTGAAATCAGGCATGGCTTGAGTATGGAATTGTTCTGATAGTGACTTAAAAAGCCTGTGGTGTATTGCTCCTACATAATGGGGATCTGATTTCTCCTATAATTATGGAAATTTGTATTTCTCCCTAAATTGATGGACCAGTGGACGAGGATCATGGCAGAACTGGGCTCTCTTCATGGTCTCGACCCCATTTTCATCTTCTTCCACAAGATGGAAGCTTCAATCACACCTCATTCTACCAGGAATCAGGCCAAATTATCACAACAAAAGCATGAGCCCTGCTCAATTTCAAATACTTCACTTCCTTATGTAAACATTTTTATAGTTACTAAAATGAATAATTCACAGAGAGGCTTAATCAAAAGTTCCAAGTGGTTACTAACCTTTAGACTGGGTTTATTTACTTTGGTTTTTTTTTTTTTTTTAATTAAAAAAAATATCACTAGAAGTTTAACAATTTAGTTATAACTTTTTGGCTTAAAGCACACACATACTCTAAGAGACAAGATAAAATTAAAACATGTGTTGTTAATTAGGTAAAACGGTGGTATTTCTTTCTGCAATTAGATTCTTTTACTGAAATTTCACTGACTTCATCATCTGGTGTTTATATATTTACATAATGTATTGTTAAAACCAGGATTTTATTAGTAATAATACAAAATTATGACTTCACTCCTGGATTAAATAGAAAGAAAAGATGATTATTTGGGAAAAAAACTTCAAGAAGAAAATCAATTACAAAATAATAGATATAGAAAAAATCAGGATATAAAGCATGTTTAATAAATTAAATTAAGCATAAAAACTAATCAATATAATTCACATTTTATTAGCTTGAAATAAACATATCTTCCACAACCTATACAAGATAACCACATTTTTGTATAGGTTATTTAAAAGTGTTTAAATATTCAAAGCACAATCCCATGAAATCTTTCACAGTTAGCGTTTAATATACATATTATCATTTCCTCAGCAGCAGAATTCTAAGAACCTTCCTTGTTCATCAGTGCATAGAGGAAGCAGTAATTTGATAAAGAAAAATGATAACTTTTTAAAAAGAGCTATATCTAACTATTAGATTTAAATACTTATAATTTGCTTTTATGAGTGGTTTTTAATTTGGAGTTCAGAGATTATCAACTGTCAAAAATCAGTTTCCCAATATACTCTCTAAAGCATCATCCTAGTTTTCTCTGGTATGGATCTGGGGCATTTCAATATTTGCAATCATTAACTACGCTCATCTGATTTTGAGGAAGGGCATCATTTTAAAGTGTTTTGAAATGACTTTTACATGTATTTTGTCGACATGTATTTTGTCAACATGTATTTAAACTCTCTTTAAAAAGCCATATGCCCAAACCTTCATATGTACACACACACACCCTCATACGAATACAAATGTGGCTTTGAAGTTGCCTTTTCTCAGTGGTGACTCCTGGGTGTGGCAGGGATGACACCAAAGGCCAGAGGACATGCTTATTTACTTCCTCCACGATTTCTCTTCACTACACAACAGCCTGCATTTAGGGCTGACCTGGACCTCTGAGCAACTTTACTTTCTCCTTCCCAAATTCCAATACCTTTATGTCAGCAACTTCTCCTACATTTCTTATGTTTTTTAATGTATTTTATAAAAGTATTTAAAAAAAATACATTTGGCAACCTGGGGAGCAGCCTTGTAAAATAATTCTCTTGATCTCACATCAATATTTGAGAATGTCGGTCCCTCCTGGTTATCCCGTATTCCACCCACCCATTCATTCACTCCCAAATTCATGGAATCGGTCTTCCCCTCACTGGACTGTGGAAATGGCTCTCTGTGTTGCCAAGGAGCCAAACTGCCAAGTCTAGGTGGCACGCTTTGATCCTCCTCTTCATGGCTGCCTCTTGCTGCTTCTAGGATGGTGACTCCCTCCTCCACCAGGGGCTTTGGTGGCACTCCACCTTCCTGGTCCTCCTCTTGTTATTACTTCTCCTCTGTTTTCTCCCTCTCCCTTTCAAATCCTCTTCTGTGGCTCCTTAAGTATTGATAGTTTTGGTCCCGTGCCCATTGTTCTCTTTGCTTAATACACAGGTCTTGGTGTCATTCACTCCGTTGGCTTCAACTACAAATTATATGCTGATCATTAGGACTCCAAGTGTTCAATACAGCTTCTCAACCTGAAATGCAGACTTGAATATTCAAATGCCTCCTAGACATCATCACCTGGCAGTTCAAATTCTATCTGTTCACAGTTGCACTTACTTTTCCTCCTCTATAACCTGTCTCCTCTGCCTATACTTGTTTTTCTCAGATGGACATAGTTTTATCGACTCTAGGGAACATCTTGACCATCACCCTTTACTTTTCCCACATCGTCACTCCACAGTCAATTAGATCACTCATCTACCAAATCCATTGGATTTTCTCATTGAATGTGTTCTATGTGTCAAGCATGATGTTAAATGTTTGATATGCATGATCTAATTAGTCCTCAAAACTACTTTATCAGGCAGGTACTATGATTATTCTTATTTTACCCATTGAGAGGCTGAGGCTTGAGGACATCAGGGAACTTGCCAAAAGATAATCAACAGAGGTAGGCTTTTGATTCCAGAGCCTGAACTCTAGTTAGTGAGCTGTCACTACACTTAGGGTATTATTTTAACAACATCAGTTTGTGCACCATTGTTCCCTACTACACTATGAATTCTTTGATGGATGTACAACACTGGTCGAACAAATGGATGGATGGATAAGTTAAATATTACTTAGAGATGTGTCAATGAAGTATTTTAAAGAATTATAACTTAAGAAGTGCCTTTATGTGATTATCTCATTTAAAACTTTCATGGTCATTGTGAGATTTAAATACGATAAGCACTTAAAAGTAAATCTTCAAAATGTAGTCATTATTATTATCAACTATTGTTTTCATGATTTTAATTTCTGATCTCCAGGGATGAGAACGCAATTTCAGTCTTAAATTCCTTACCACAAATACACCACTGATATGCAACATTTACTCATCTAAAAATTAACCATAAAGGATTTCATCATTGCTTAATTTTTAGACTAAAATCTATCATTTTCCACAGGGGGAGGTTATTGCAATGTTATAGTCAAGCACCTAGAAATAACTAAAAGACTCTAAGATCTCTAACTCCTAGTTGCATGAATTTCTATTCTGTAAGTTGCCCTTAGGGGGAACAATTTTAATGTTCTTTAAAGTACTGTCTTCTATTATGCTGTTGTACTGTTAGCTAGGAAAGCAGAAGAAAACGTCTAGAATGACATTTCCAAGTTCTTGTTCAAAAACTTTTAACAAAGTTCCTATATAAACTTTTCTTTCACTGTGCTAGAAATGAATATCCAATTTTGTCAGCCTACCAAGTTGGCATCTATTTTGTAGTCTCTCATGCTACAGCAATAAGCACATTCGCATGCAGAAGCATACGTGGACAATGTTCCATTTTGCTCACAAGTGTAAAGTATTTTGAATTCCTTTTTTTCCTCTTGCTTATGTTTAGAATTCATGAGGTGCAAGGTAATGAACATGGACAAATAGAACACAGGACAAAAACATTTTCAGTATAGAGTCTTATCCATAGAATCCTTATCACAGCTATGTTAGACTCAACAACCAATGAAACAATGAAATTATAATATCTGTCTTTTTCCCTACCTTAATTTTAGACAGCTTTTTCTGGGTGGCTGATGAATCTCCAGACATATCTGACCACCGGTGAAGTTCTTCCTTTGCTGAATGGAGCCAGTCTGTGAATTCCTGGACTGCATCTAGATACATTAGGTGGTCCTTCACAATTTCTTCCACTTTCCTCATTTTCTCCTAGTAAATAAAGAAAAAGCTGCTTTAACAGTAGTCTCTATTGAGAATATAAAATCAGATAAGATAACACATATTGGTCTCTTAATGATCTCAGAAGATTTCATTCTTCTTGAATTTTCCTTATGTTTAATATCTTAAAATGAAAATATCAAATCTTAATTAGATTGAAAGACTTTGAGAAAGCAACCATTTTTCCTATAATTTTACTTTGTTCTAGCTTTGCATAAAAAAAAGATCTATGCTTAATGAATGTTAACTAACATCCCTCACTAATTATCCATTCAATAATAATTATTGTAATAACGATTCTTATTATTTAAGAAATTATTTGTGTTGGCTTTTTGTAAGGCATTCTGTTTAGTATGTTAAATGCATCTGCTCATTTTATTCTCACAACGGCTCTGTGATGGAGATACTACTATAGGTAAGGACACTTACAGAGATTAGTGACGTGCCCAAAGTCACACATCCAAAAAAATGTCAAAGCCACAATTCAAATTTGTTTTTTTACTCCAGAGTCATAGTTCTTCATTATTACCAAAATAAAAATTAAAATAAATAATAAGTATAGTATTAATAATGCAAAGAGAATTCCAGAAAGAAAAACCAAGAAGGGGGGTGGGAACCTCTCGTCTTTTCTTTAAAATTGTCATAAATATACAAAAGAAATTACAGAGAAAAGTAAAAGTTCAGTTAGAGTTGGAAAATATCATGATATTACATGAAGGAGCCTATATCTTTGAGAATAGAAAAATGAAGTTTGTGCTAAGATGAGACCCGAACACACTATTTTGTACATGATTGAAATCAGGAAGTAAATAGACTTGCATTTGCTCTAACAAATGTAAGTGGTAGCAAAAGATAAAAGAACTTTAAACACTGATATTTGAGGCTCAACAATCTTATTTAAAAATGGGTTGACTAACATTCTGCATGGAGAAAGTCAAAAACAAAGAATAAAAAATAATCCCAAGATTGCAGAAAGAGAAAAATTCATAGGCATCCATAGGCGAGAAATTTTATTTACATAATATCTCTTCACTAATCGCCCATATAGTTTTGGAGCACCAATGATGCAATAATTCAACCTATTATTTATCTGAGCCTTGACGTTTTTTCTTCAACATAAAGCACTGACCTTGGCCACTGTCATTATGTCATTAAACTGGGTTTTCAGTTCCTCTTGAGCTGTTTCCTTGAAAGACTCATCCTCGGTCTTCTGGTAGAGCTCCCTGGACTTTGCAATGAGGCCGTGTAGAGCTCCGGTGTGTCCCTCCCCCTCGGATACGATGGACTGAAAGTGGTCCAGAAGGGAAAACTTCTCTTTCAGACCTGCCTGCAGTTTCAATGGATGTTCTACTTTTTGATCCACTGATTCCATCCACTGCTCCAGCTGGTTTTTCCACTCCAGGTAGTCATTCCATTGGCTAATCACAGACTCTAGGTTGCTAGAATTAATGTCACATATCATAAAAATAAGTTATCTTGACATATTTACTGAAAATCAATTATGAGGACATTCAGCCATGTAAGCTGTCTTATTAAATGCTATCGAAAGGATGAAAATGCTGCTTTTAAGAGCAGGGAGAAACACTACTTCTCTGACCCACAGCACAGTTTCTTCAAAAGAAAGTGAATCTATGTCACAAAGATGTTGTGATCATACATGCATCTGGAGGTTTGTCTTCCAAATGCTAATTATTCTAAAAAAAAAAAAAAACAGGCAAATTTATGTGCTATAGTTTTGAAAATCAGCACTGGGGCATCAATTAAATTTTATTTAACTTATACCAATTCTTAATTTTCTTGGGTTCCGTTTATATGATTAAAATCAGATGGCAATTATCTATCGACTGGAATTGAAAATTGAGGGTCTTCTTCCTGGGTAAATTAAATATCATTACATTAATTTTTCACTTAGGAATATATATGCTTAACATATATGTTCGTACATTCAACAATGTTTAATGTTGACTGTATGAAAGAATGAAGCTCAGTGTATTTATAATATGAGAAATATGGTCACAAATATAATACTCAAGTAAATAGCTCTCCAGATAGTCAAATAAAAGGCTTTTGGGCAGAAATTTAAAAATTTTAAAGTATTCGGCTTTACAAACCATTCTAAATTCTTCTTCAGTGACCTCCTCCCAGCCTCCCTTGCATATAATCTTATGATCCTGAAGTTACTCAAATTGTTTTGTTTTTGTTTTTGTTTTTCATCAGTAGGAAACTCCTTATCCATGCCTAAATTCATATCCTTCCCTCAAAGAATTTTCTAGGAAATCCAGATTGCTCTCTCCTAACCCAGAAGCCACCCAGGCCCTGCATTCTTCTATGGTCCCACGGTGTCTCAGTAACACAATGTGAGTCAGAGTTTTTCTGGTGTGCATCCTACCCGAGCCTCCCAGCACCCAGAAGGCAAAAAACACTTTGTTTTGTGTCATTTTAGCACAACAATATGAGCACTGCTGCTACTCAATATGCTTAGTTCTCAAACTTAATGCCTTACCGAGAGAAGAGAATCGAGGATTTGAATCTACTTTTGGCATTTAACAGTTTATTCTAACGTCTGAAAAATATTCACTTGTATTCCCATTCACTTTTATGGCTGGCCTATTGCTGAGCATTGGGAAGTTTGGTCTATTATTCAGAAAAATAACCATAGGAACTGATTTTTCTTCTTTGCTAACCGTTATGAATTATAACTAACATTCAAAGTCCTGCTGATTTGGGGACTCGTTACCTGTGCTCTATGTTAAAGGAAAAAACAAAACGAAACAAAACAAAACAAATCCTCCCAAATTTTAATTGAAACCATGGCTCACTGTTTACATTGCAGTAGCTGGCTAATGTAGCGTATGTATTTTGCTTTGTGATGAACTTTAATCTTTTATTCATCTCTTTATAACGATCATATCGAGCACACACACTTCTTTGATGATATAACCTTCAGAATATGGCTTCTGGAATGTACTTTAATCTAATTCTGACTGAAGTTTCATTTGTCCAACAAGCCCGTCAGGTTCCTTGTAGATATTCTGAGAAGAGGGAGGAAGGTGAAGAATCTTCCATCCATAAATACAACAGCAAAATGACACCTGGTACAACAGTCAGTATATTCTCTACTTTCTCATCAGCCTCTGGTGCTTCTCATCAGGGGCCCTGCAGGCTTCCGGGGTGGGCAGGTTGTTGCTCATGTGACACTGTCTAGGCATCGCAGGAGGTGCCAGGGATGGCCCCTGTCACTATGATAATCAAAAACTCCCACACACTTCTGCAACCCCAACGTGGATGATATTAAGTATAAAACGATTTATACTTAAGCTCAACAGTTACCAACAACTTAATTCTCCTTGTGTTCCCTCAAAAAGCAAAATCTTATGAAAGTTATTAAAGACCATATATCTTTGCTTGGATGAGAAGAAAAGAGGTATTTCACTGAACCCATGTTGTGTGCAAGATTCTATGAGAGTTGTGAGAGAAATAAATATTACACACACACACACACACACACACACACACACACACACACATGCAAAGAGAGGAAACAAACCAAACCAGTCTTGCTGTTACAGAAAATACAATTTAGGCAAAGATAGGCAAGCATACAACTAGCTAAAATAATATGCTTGGTACACCTACTAGAGATCCCCTCAGCATGCTCCATCATTTTACTAAGCCACTGTGTTTTATTTAGATGAATAAACACTAAAACTAGTCTCTGTACCTCTGAGCACGGAGGGCGGAGCCCATGATGTTCGCCCACACGTCTGCCAGGGTCTGTAGCTGAGTCTGGATCACCCTCCGACCCTCTTCGTTGCTACTTCTCGCGGCCTGTTCCCCTTTGCCAATGGCCATGTTCAACTTAACTTCTCCTTCGCCTTTCATCAGGAGAATATCCTACGAAGAAAGAGTAAATACAGCCAGTAGAAACATGAAAGCTTTCTGATATTTTTAAAAGCAGGTAGGGAATAACTTACTCACCTTAAAATGAAAACAGCGACAACAAACTCTGGACCCGCCAGCTGCGGCATGACACTTTACTTAAATATTAGCTATCCAGGAGTCTGGGAGTCAAAGATCAATTCCAATTTAAATTCTTGGAAAACTTTGGGCCACCAGCCTAGAATTTGTAACTTTACTAAAATTTGGTTTCAGAGTCAAAAGAGATTATTTTGAAAATGAAGACATACTTGTAAAAAACCTAATAGTCCCCTATTTTCATTGCCTGGCTAATTCCTGGCTTTCGAGGTCACCTTCGCTGACTGTGGTCTGGGTAGGTGGGCTCCTCTGTGCTTTCAACATAAGCCTGCTTGCTTCAAGTGCAGCCCCTACATACATGTCACACGGTAAGTAACAATTTACATACAGGTTGGTCTCTCCCAGTGACTTGAACGCCTAGAAATCAAGGATTAATTTTTATCTTTATAGGCCCAGCAACTTGTATAGTGCTTGGAGTAAAGTAGGTATTTTTTTCATAACATTTACTGAATATTTATGAAATAAAATTAAACATTATTTTATAACTATTAAAACAAAAATATGCCTTTACAAAGTGGAAAAATGACTACTCCACATTCTTTTGGCCCAGTTTCTCCACTTTACCTGAATAATCCTGATTTACAGGCTCACGGATTGATTAAGACGCAACTCAAACATTTGCGAATCTAATCAAATCAGTCTTCAGAAGTTGTGGGTGTCTAGCTGGTGCCACACGTACCTGTATTTGTAACAGCCGTTTTTCCAAGGTGTCTTTGCTTCCGACGGTGCTCTCTGCACAGGCCAGTTTGTCTTGAGCATCCTTCACCCAGGACCACATGCTCTGCAGTGCCTCCTCCAGGGCCTCGTGCTCCTGCAGGGCCAGCTGGCAGCTCCTGAGTTTCTCCTTGGTCATTCTGAGTAAGTGCTGGTAGGTCGTGAGCAGCTGAGAGCACAGGCGTCCTTCTTTCCCAACGCCGTGGCCTTCTTCGCTGAGAAGCTGCCCTCTCTGGGAGAGCTTATCAAGAGATTCTCTAAAGAAAACAAAAGAAATTCATTCTGCCATTCTGCAGTGCAGGGGAGTGACAAATGATTGTTGATATCGGAGCGGTAACCAGAAAAGGCCCCACAGCTGACATGCCTTTGAAATGAGGAGCCCGGGGACCGTGCCGGCCACCTGCTTCTCTTATGGTTTCTCCAAATGTGGTCAATATACATCCGGGGGCGTAATTTAGTCCTTGCTGTGCCGGGATCCAAGGCCAGTGTATTCCTAGGGATTCACCTCAGAAAATGGCCCAGGCCTGGCTCTCCAGGCCTTCTCTAGCGTCTCTCCATTCTTATTTAATGCTCTAACCACGAACAGCTCACTGAAATCCCCCAAAACACGGCTGTTTTATACATACACGGAGGGTCCTCTTGTGTGAAAACCTTCTGCTCTCCTCTGCTTCTTTTCTAGCTGCACCTTTCAAAGCTCAGTGCAGGCATCGCATCCCAGGCAGCACTGTGATGACTGGACAGGGTGGAGAGGACAGGTGTCCTCCAGTGGGAGCCTCCTGCCTTGTATGGCTCTGCCACCTCCTCCACCCTGACTATCTCAACCCACAAGGCCTCTCTGTTTTCTATAAGCCAAGGCTAGTACATCCACCTAGAGTCCTCAGCACCCAACACAGATGTTAGGCAGAGATAAAATGCGCCTCCCCCCCACCCCCCGCTCAAAAAAAAATCTTTCAAAAGGCCATTTTATGAGCGCTTACGGGTGTCCTTCTTGTATTTTGGGTGCCTTGCTCATCTCAGTTTGGAATTACGTTAATTAGCTCATGAGAAAAATGTAATCATTCATGGCTGAGTTGGCTCCATCCTGTTTTACAGGTTCTGAACTCGGATCGGCACATCTATCAGGAAATGTCGGGGACGCCAGAAGGGAGAGTGCAGATGTCTGAACACAAACTGTTGTGAGTACTAGAAAAACGGTATGGATGGAGCCTATCTCCTACAATGTCTCAATTTTTTTTTTCTGAGCAGCTACTATGTAAATGGTATCCTAAAGGGCCTCTGTGAGATATGTAACCCTAATACAATATTACTCATTCTAAAATACATTATCTGTTTGGTGAGACAAAAAAAGTGGGTTAAGTAAATAATAATTCAAGACAGATCTCACTTATTATTATAAGAAGAATTACTTAATAGATGATAAAAATTCAATAATTCTGAAGTCTGGGATGCTTTTAAAAAATATAGGGCATCCCCAAAGATATGTGAAGTACCGGAAATATGAGGATGGAAACAAAAACAACAAACAAACAAACAAACAATAACAGTACTAGGAGGAGCAAACAGCAAGCAAGGGAGAGGAGTAGCCTTAGAAGGAAGCTGGGAACGAATACAGTTAAGGACTCAGCATCTGGTCCTGGAACATCAGAGAGTAATAGCTCAAGAAGAATGTGTAAAGTCATTTGAAAAGTTTAGAAGGAGAGAAGTAAGTCTGGCCATGTTATATTGTAGCTAGGCAAGAGTCAAGGTTTTAAAAGGAAATATTAGTGTCATTTTCAGAAAGTTATAGTTAGAATGATGCTCTTCTGTTAATTCAGCAAATATTTTCTATTGTTCCGGCACGATACTAGACAATGGTAATATAAAGATGATAAAAATCTGATGGTCCCCGGCCCTGAGGAACTCGCCATGATGGGTTAGGGTATACGGGGTCACAGAGATGGGCCCAAAGCATTCCAGGGAAATTTTATAATAATCATCAAACTAGCACACCAATAGTTTTCAGTATGGGTTGTGTTTGTGCATTTACTTGCATGTTTGTTTTTCAAGGCAAGGAATACTCAACGTGTTTGATCAAAAAAGAGTACTCAGCAGAAACAGAGGATGGGTATAATCTGAATTAAGCAATTTTTACTCAATCGATCACTGTGGCTGCTTTGCCTGATCCAGGCTGGGTGCTACTGCTGCTGCTTCACAGATGGGTGCATCTGCTCTCCGAAAGTTTGGTTAAGGAGTTTGAGGTCAAATGGCACTCCCCTGATGGACAGTGTTCCATCTTCCGATGGAAGATTTCCAGTGAAGCCACAGACAATGCCAAGGGAGGAGCATGAATTTAGGGTGCAAAGCCCTGATGGTCAGGCCAGAGAACTTGGCCTGGGAAAAAAGTCAGAATCACTTGCTCAGTTGGGAAGCAATGAAGAGACAAATATTGCAGTGGAGAAGAAAAACCTCCAAGACAGTCAGACATAGTGACCATATCTTTTGTTTTACTAAGAATATTATGAGGATGAGGAGGGCTGAAAATGGGCCTGGAGGGTGATGTGTATAAAGAATATATGAAAATTGGAATCTTCCACATTATTTTTTTTATAAATGAAGAGTATCTTTTAATCACCTTAAATCTTTATAATAACCCATGAAGGAAAGTATATCATCATCATCATCATCATCATCATCACCACAACACTTAAAGGCTAGTATCAAAAAAATACAGGAAACGAGTGGCTTGTCTAATCTGTTGAGCGAAGGGAGGAGGAAGTGGGGCCAGCTCCTTATTTCCGCCCCATGCTCTCCCTAGAACACTATATGGCCATGGAAAACACTGCATGTTGTTTGTATTCTAGACATTCAAGGATGGAAACACACACAGCCACCAAAAATTAACCAACCAACTCAG